GCAGTGCAGAACGTGCCTATAAATGTATAACTTAAAAAAAAAATTAACAGTAAAAAAAATCTTGTCATAGTTCATCTCATTAAGCTACACAAATTCTTTATTATTTTGTTGTGGCCAAGGGTAGTGACAATAAAAAAAAGGGTCATGTTACGTTACCACTTAATACTGATAAATCATTCTATAAGTAAAAACGCAATTTAGTCACTAAATTCATACAACTTGTAATATGTATGTACACAAGTTCATACGATAAGTGAAGCTTGTACGTTACTTTTGTGTGTACACGTCTATGATCTTCATGATGAATCTTACATCATATGCTGACATATAACACGAACAGCCTTCTTGTAAGATTGCATGTATGTATAAGAACTGTTTGTTATACGTATGTGTGTATGACTTGTCTTGTACGTATGAATAGACAAGTTATCTAAGTATTAATTGTCTTTTTTTAATAATACATACCAATTGAAATCAACAGATTATTTAACTATATTTGAATTTCATTATTCAATTATCTAAAATAATTACTGCAAAATTTATTAACTTATTTGTTATGCTCAATTTCGTATTTGGTATTCCTTTTGTTGCTGAAACAAGCTTGTATCATCACTGAGCCAAAAATCATAATCAGAAGAATTAATTGATACTGTTAAACTTTCATATTCTAACTCATTAAACGTTTCCGTTTAAGTCTCCTTTTTTTTTAAAGCAGTATACAAGAATATTACTTATTGGTTAATTATATTAAATCAAAGGCCTGTTTTACTTGCTCTGACGCTATAAGAACACACCATCAAGAAAAAAATCGCTTTTTTTACTAATCACCTGTCCACTAAAGTCTTACTCTTAGCCTACTCTTGACTACCATGTCTTTCGAGTACGTTATACATATAGGGCATAAGGTTTTGCTTGAAGCATTACAGATGTATCTTAAAGGCATTAATAATCTTGGACTCTAAGGAGTGAGGTACAGTGAGGAAAGCCAGCTAAAAATGTTCTGGGGATAGCAGAGAAAGCAAACAGCTGCAACATCTTTTTTTTGCCACGGACTTATTCGTGTAGTTTTAAAGCCCACTGGAGAACACCGCACAAAACATCAGAAAACATTAAACAAGTCGTTGAAACTATCAATCATGGATGTTAGTTGGTCATTAATTATACAATAAATACCAATCGTTGTTAGAGTGATCTAAATGATACATGCTTAAGAGAATAAATTTTTCATAATTCTTTTATGAAGAAGACATTGTAACTAAATCTATCTACATGTATCAAATTAAGACTTTAAATTAATAAAATAGTAATAAATTCAGTTCACGAGCTTAAATCAATAGGAACTACAAACGATACTAGAATAAAACAGTTAAGACCACACGCCTACCAAGTCTGGTCATAACAGAAGCTAAGTAGCCTAATCATTAATGAATTAAAGTATTAGCTTCGTCAACTTCGATCTATCTACTATTATACTTTAGTAAAATTCACAATCGTTTCAATAAATACTCAGTTATTGACTGTACCTTTGGGGTGATGTCAAAACCTGTCTTATTAATATTAACATGTAAAAAGGCAACAAACCTCAACATACTGAGGAACAATTAAACACACTATTAATGTTATAGAGTAACTTAATAAAAAACTTTTAATACTTTTCATAAAATTATTTTTGTTACTATCATGTTCATAATAAGTGTATTTCTGAGACAAATAAGAACGCAGACATGCAACAGATTTAAGTGATGAGAAATTTGGCTCTTGAGCTGCTCAATACTTGGTTCATAAGCAAAAATACATCCAAGCGAGCACTTTCAATTACTTGTAAAGGGGTGCACGAAATTTCAGATGCTAAGTCAAGAAAGATAGCATGGCTAAGCTAGTGCTTTAGATAACTGGTCATAGTATGACTTGTTGTTAATTTATCCGATAAAAAATCATGTGAACCACACAGCGCATTTGGTCGCTGGGTATAAGCTCCTTAAAATTTTGTAAGCTTATAAAATCTTATAATGTGTAGACAGTGGAGTATAGAGCGTACTTGGCAATAAATTGTTACCAGATAAGATTAATAAGTATATTTAAAAATATCCTAACTGCAAATATAGTGTTACTGAAATAAGGCTCTTAAGCAACTACGCTTTTTTGTAGTTAGTAATTAATAACTAAATGAATATTTTAATATTTTAAAATTTAAAAAAAAAATGAAATTGATTTTTAAACTGAAAATCTTCGGGTTAGAATCCAAGTGGTTATCCAACTAAGCTTACAAATAACATGACCAGAAGATCTAAAAATAAAAATATGTTCTGCAAATACCTATATTTTCAAGGAAGGGGGGAGGGTGGTTTGATCATTTGGAACGAGATCCATTTATTTATTCTAGGGGAATAAATATATGATTGCGACTAGGAAGGTTAGGTGCACAAAAGAAATACAAAGTGATTGCAAAATAATTATTAAATATATTTAAATGTATAATTTAGTATGATAATATATCGAATGTAGCTGAATACAGTCGTGAAGGTCTTAGCTTACAGAAAGTAAAACGTCACAATGGAAATTTGTTGAAACCCAACTGAATTACAAATTTTTCGAGAACTGAAAAAAAATTTGATGTAAGAATACATAATTCATTCGTTAGTGGGTAAGTATCATTTTTTTAAATCAACATATTAAATCAACGCTGTAAATTAGAATCGAATTCATTATTAAAGCCAAAATAATCTCTTGTTTTGTATCGATAAACGAATAAATTATTTGAAAAAATACCCATTCTAACGTGGGTCCAACATGATATACTGAAACTTTACATAGTTCTCCATACACAGTAATAAACCAAAACTGTAGTCAGTTTAAGAAGTAAGTGTATAATAAGTTCTGGCACTATTTCCGCCTCAGCCGTACCAATCGCATAAAAGAAAAATAAGCTGAGACTATGTTCGAATACATGATTTTTTGGGTTAATAGTTCCTTTACCCAAACTATCAACGATTGAACATTGACATTGATCCCTTTGCAACATGTATATTATTGGACTGATCAATCTCTTTTGATCAACAATTTTAACATATATAAAAAAAAAAACTTAGTTGTTGACACGCCACTGAATCAACAAGTTGTGTCAGCTAGACGGCATGGTACGACATTAATACAAAGAATCTTAATGAAATTTAGAAACGATGGGTAGTCCAATTAGCAAACTAAGTACGTCAAGGAAGCCACCACAAGAGATTTACTGCTTTAGCGACGAGGAATTATCAGGAAGATAATTCTCGAACTCGTTTTATCCGCTAGATAAAAAGACCCCTTCTACTTCCCAATACGAGGAAGAGGGAGCCGAGCAGAGGTGAGAGGCTTGTAGTCCACGTTCTTTGGCTTTTGAAGAGTAATCACAAAAGAAAATAACAGACGGTTATTAGACGTCTAGATTTTTGGAACTAGTCAATCTGCTCTAAAGGAAGCTCTTCTTCTTAATGCTGCTCCCGTTCTCGCTCTCCGACCCCTGCCTTGTTTTCCCTTTTCCTTTTTCATGCTGCCAAAACTGCTGCTTGTTTTCGAGCGTTTTAGCGCTTTTTCGCCCCTGGTCATGGCCCCGTGCGTCTAGTCCCCGCAGTTCATAGTATTAACCGGTGCTGAGCCCTTACTCGTGGAATCTTTTGTTGATTGAATTGTTAATTTTATTTTGCATAAATTGTATGTACGTAGCTGTTTTACTTTTTCTGAATTATGAAGTAAAAACTTTTAAGTGTGGGCATGCTAGCACGCCGGGACTTTGAAAATAAACATGTAGAGTTTTTGCTTGTATTTTAATAATTTATAAATCAAGATACATGATCGCACTATGTACCTTGGAATAAGTAGCTTGGGATCTCGTTTATTTTGGTAACAAATAAAAGTATGGGCAAGCAAACGCATTGGATCATCGAAGATTGTTGGTTTGGGATGTTTTTTATTTAGGAAACAAAAGAAGGTAAGGACAAATCAGTGCATTGAATTGTTGGGAACAAGCGGTTTTAAATTTTGTTGATTTAGTAAATAAACAAGACCGTAGAAAAGTAAGCGCAGTGAGTTTCTGGAAATGAGCTGCTGGCGATTCAAGTGATTATGGATACGACTTAGCTTTAATACCATGTTCTTTATTTCAGTGGTTAAGAGAATTTATTAGGAATCAGTGACAACTCGCATTTCACTCTTAATTGCATAGTAACTCCTTAAGTCGTCTAGGTTATCAGGAGATATGTATTTGAATTTAATTTTTTCTATGTTTGCGGGCTGTATCTCCAAGCTTTAGATGTTTAAGCGTCATGCAAACGCTTGGCCAATCAGAATCTGTCTGCTCACAAGTGTGTGCGAGCTCTCAGCATGATCATAGCAGACTAATTGGCTTACGTCTTTATTCATATCAGCTTTAGTAAAATAAACAATTTTTAGATCAGGTTCGGTAAATATATAATTAAATACAGTTTCATCAAAACCATTGGACCATCTTTCGCAGAGTCCTTGAACTAAGGAATAGTTAAAAAGATGTCTCTTGAAGAGATTTATAGAAGTTTTTTAACAATTTTTTTCAGTGAAGCTTTAGTCACGTCTTTTTTACAATAAATTGAATACAATTAGTTGAAATGATCAACGCGTGCAAAAATAAAAAATTACTAATCATAAGCTGTAAAAGAGTAAGGTCTGAAAAATAAGTCGTATGTCAAATTTAAGAACCTCATAATACAAAAGAAATCAAAATAACAGGGCATCCGAATAATACACTATGCGAATAATCTACTTTGGTGTTTATATTTTTTTATCTTGTAATTAATCTTAATTCTATTGTATTAGTTACCAAGGATATTTCTTACTATGCTTATTAGAAAAACATATTTTTCTACCATTTATAAAAGTAAATTTGTTTTTCACAATCCTTTTTTTGGCAAAATTTTTAATAGTCATCATCTTCGTCATTATTTAAAAATAGCTATAGTTTTAAAAATTTATTAACAATTTCTTACCTGAAAACTGTGTAATACTGCTATATTAGATTCAATTATTGCTTTATCCTTCCAGAGAGATGAAAGTATTTGTGTGTTCACACCCATCTGTTTCGCAATAATCTAGAAAAAAAGGAAACTATTGTGTCGTTAATGATAACACTCAAAATATGTAAAGTTACTGTCAGAAAAATTTTAAGGCCAAGAAAATATTTAATTAATAAAAATGTATTTTGCAAAGTTTATGTAATTGTGATTTTATCTTAAGTTACTAATACATGTTAAAAAAAGTTTAGTTGTTATTCATTGATATCTTTATAAATTATGAACAGACATCTGACCTTTACGTGAATGTTTTGATATATATTATATCAAGTAAGGTATGATTTTTATGACCACTTTCAGCTACTACTAATTTTGTAGCAAAATAAAAAGGCTTTTGTATCTGGGTGCACTGTCACTATGCACTATGTATATACTTCTAATGAATTAAGGCACTACTCACATATGGTAAAAAGCCTACATAATAGGTATTTGTTTACTGTTATGAGAACAAAAAAATAGCTGTGGGAAGATTGATCTACAAAATAAATGCATACACTTTTACTTGTATAAAATGTTTTCTCGCATTCAAGGCTCCCAGATTTTAGGGAGTTCGCCGCATGCGCAGTGCGCAATCACCCTCTCTCCACAGAGCAAGCTGGAGCAGGAGAGTCCCCCTACCCAGACCTTTAACCTAAGCCCCGCCCACTTTTTACAACTTAAGTATGACATCTTGTCAAATAGGAGTACCATCAACGATAGCCGCGCGGGCTAAGTCTTTTGCCCCAGCCAAACTTGTCAGCTTTCGAATCTCTCTGATAATTTTTTTCTTTTTTTTTTCTTTTTTTTTTTTTCGTTGATAAAAATTTTCTTACA